CATTTGTACATCATTCTAGACAGAAATAAATGGCCTTTTTAGAAAGTGAACCATCGATAAGGAAATGTTGGCAGTTTTCTCAAAAAATGCTTGAATTCAAGAAGTTTTAGATTTGCGTGTTTTTTTTGAGTTGCAAAATCCACTTGAACATGACGCTGCTTTTTTCGAAGTTTCTCAAGAACCATTCGAGCCACAGAATTCGTTTTGGCATCGTTGGATAGAGAATTGAATGACCCCCATGACCCCCCCTGGATCCGCCCTTGCACTACCCCATCGAATAAGCAACCCTTTGGCGTGGATTTTGCATTTAGAGCGAGTTCGAGTCCCAAAACCACCCCGAAAATGCGAGCCTCGCTATAATATTAAATAATTGCAGGTAGAGATACAGAGTTTGTAACTGGCATTGAACACGACGGAATCGACTTCTCCATAGAAGATTTCATCAACAATGACGCTTTTGGAGACTTAACTGCCCATTCGTCTGGAGGCAAAGTCATCACCGAAACGACACGAAGCAATAACAACGGGTAAGATCATGTGGTTATTTTTAACACTTCCCTTCAATATGCTGGCTGCCAGTTTGTTTTTGAGCTAAAGGTCACGAAACGAGATAATCAGCGAATTTTCAACTGTTACGATATGAACGGGGGGCCATTAGGGAAAACCCAAATTTTTGCATATTCCTGCGTCCATCTGATAACTCTACTCAACGACCACTGTAGAAATAAGTGATCCACGCACGTTGAAATGCCGCAAAAGTGTTTTGTTTTCAGTCACTTGTTGCCTGAAAGTCCGCCTGATTCCAGCTCGGAGTACAGTCCACAAGATGGGTGCGAACCTGCCCTAAATGCCTCAGAAACCGTCTACTCCAATCTGGGAACCAGCAACTATAAACCAGAGCTGTTGAATCCCGTTGATAGTCTCATTCTGCCGTCGCAAATTATCGCTGATCAGAATAATGAGCGCCTTGTCGATAACAATGACATACTACAGGTACAAAGAGCATTGCTTATTAAGCGTTTTATTATTGAGCGTCATTAATGTTTCAGGACAGTCAATTGCTGGGGTCTCACGATTTAAGGGATTGCAACAATATCCTGAGCAACCGGCTGCTTCAGGATGGCTTGTCGGGCAATCATGGGATTTTGCTTGCTGACCATGAACCTGGTAAGTGAGCGACGCTCGCAAGAATCCAGTTTTTACGTATTCCTTTTTGTTCAGAAAACAATCGACAATTACTGATATCGAATGCATCGGAAACAGGGCCAATCTACAATCCGTCCATGTACGAGCAGAAGGAGTTCATGGAAGACAAGCACATGGTCCATCTCACATTCACCCCGAATATCGACAATATTTCGCGTCCTAATCCCGAAAGTGCAATGGATATCGAAAATATCCCCAATGTCTACACGACGCTACAGGGCCCTTGTAAAAAACGCAAACTCAGCCAGGAAAGCCCTATGGTAAAACGCGAACCAGGTAATTGAACGGGAACAACTACGCTATTAAACATTCATCATCATTTGCATACTTTATTGTTAAATAACTTGATTTTCATTTTGATCACTCACTGTTTTAGACCACACGCCGATTTCTCAACTGAGCCCATCTGAGCAGTTCGCAAATCCCACCGAGGAGGAATATGCATCGTCTGAGGCATGCCTTTCTGAGCCCCAATACCAGTGCATCAGATTCAGTCCATTCCAGCAAGCCAATTGGCACACCTTATGGGGACAAGATCTCACCGAATTGTAAGTTTACTCAGTCGAATATTTTAATTAATTGAAATTTAATCAGCTGTAAAAATTAACGCTGTCTGGTTCCTTGTAGATCAACGCCACACTACAAGGTGGATGCTGATAAAGGATTCAACTTCTCCAATGCAGATGATGCTTTCGTATGCCAAAAGAAAAACCATTTCCAAGTGAGTGACAACATTCAATTTCCGTTTCAATCCTAACCAGAATGTACATAGAACAAGTCAGTTTTATTGTAATTCTTCTGCGAATTCTATAATCCATCTGCGGCTTGTCACGTTTTAAAAATCCAAGAAGGAACTTTGGCCAAAAAAACCACAATTTCAAGATTTTCAGATGCGTTCTAGTTATTAAATATATTTTATTTAGATAACTTGCCACGTTCGCCTGCTGGGAAATGCTCAATTCGTTAAAACTCCGGAAGGCCTGCAGAAGATTTCCAGCTTCCACTTGCACTTTTACGGCGTCAAACACGATTGTCCCACTCAAACGATTCGCGTGGAACAAAGTCAGAGCGATCGAAGTAAAAAGCCTTTTCATCCAGTGCTGTAAGTAGACTGAAAAATCCACGCACTTGAAAATTATTCATCAATCACACATCATTGTGGCTGTTTTAGGGTTGAATTAGTGAACTCCCAAGTGACGAAAGTTACAGTGGGACGATTGCATTTCAGCGAAACCACATCGAACAACATGCGGAAAAAGGGGAAGCCAAATCCCGAGCAACGGTACTTTCAGGTGAGTTAAACTCCTAACATCCTTAGGGAATATTCCAAAGAAGATGTTTTAAAATTTCAGTTAGTAGTGGGCCTTCATGCACACACAACAGACGGACATTTTCCGGTTGTAAGCCACGCAAGTCAGAAAATCATAGTTAGGGTACGTGATGAAAAAATACAGTTAACAAGGTACAAAATAACCATTTTTCTTTAGGCCTCTAACCCCGGTCAATTTGAAAGCGACTACAGTGAAATGTGTTGGCAAAAGGGGCAGTCTCAGGTATAAAAAGCAAATAATTAGTCTCTCGCCAATATTCAAGTGTACTTTTAGGATTCAGTATTTCATAACGGCAAAGTGGGCATCAACACCGATAAACCGGACGAGGCTCTAGTTGTACACGGCAACATAAAAATCACCGGTCACATAATTCAACCCTCCGATATCAGGGCAAAAAAGAACATTGTTAAACTGGATAGCGGCGAACAGTTGAGGAATATGAGCAAAATAAACATTTACAAGTACGATGTAGACCCGGCTCTACAGTTAAGTAGAGGAAAAGAGACTTCGGACACGGGAGTGATTGCTCAAGAAGTAGCCCTTGTTTTACCGGACGCCGTCAGGCCTTCAGGCGCGCTGGTATTGGAAAGCGGAATTATCGATGATTTCCTAGTGGTTAATAAGGTAATTCAAGCCAATTCCCTTGGGGTTTAAAGGGCAAATTTAACACCTTTCGCAGGATAGGATTTTCATGGAAAGCGTTGGCGCTGTGCAGGAGTTGGGAAAAGTCACCGAAAACCTGAAAGCCCGGATAGTCGAGCTGGAGAGGATTAATAGGACGCTCAATAGAATCAAAAGAGGCGATAGTTTGAAATCAGATAGTACAGGTAATAAAGCAGCCAAATACAAATTTTCCTTGAACTTCATAAAATCGTGTTTCCAGTGAATAGCGCAAAGTATGCAAAGTACGCATCCCACTGCAAATGCTCAAAACGACACACATGTAAATACTGCGAGAGGAAAGATGTGGAATTATGTTCAAATAAGTTTATACAAGTTGTTATAGTTATTCTAGTTCTTATTATGGCTCTATGGTGAGTAGTCGTTTGCACCTCATGCTCATACTTAGTTAGTTAGTACATTACTAGTTTATGTTTTTCCAGTTTGGCAGCAATAACTACCTTATACTTACTAGGCAATGTCACGCCTAAACGATCAAACATTGATAACTCGCCAATATCCGACAAGATTTTGTCGACGAAAAAGCCCTTAGTGCAACTGAAATCGTATAAAACTGGAACGCAGTTTTCACCGACGAGTAACGTTAATTCCTATAGTCGATTTCATGGTAGGTCCACCTGGACTAGTTGAGTAAAGCAAATTAACTCGCGAACATTTTTTATATAGAGACGTCTCAAGTGCAGCAGGAATCCAACCCAAAGCAGCAGTTTTCCCGAATAATCGGAAGCCCTAGTGAATGTGAAGACGTAAACCAAGCTCTGGAATACGGGTTATGTCCGGTGCGTGTTAATGAACTTAAAAATTAATAATCTAAAAATCTCCTTTCGGTGTTTCAGCTCTACTGTTGCGCGTCTACTAATATCCCTTCAGGCGATCTTTCTCAGCCCATCTATTCGGAAAAACAGCCAAGAAACTTGAACAAAACAGGCGGACAGTCTGCAGATTTCAATCAGCAGATAGCAGCTATCGCGAAAGATAGAAGAAACACTATTTCCAATGATATCGACAATCTGAGAAGTCCAAGAGTCAAACGAGAGGCACCTGATATCAGTAATGAATTATTTGGTAGGCAACTGGAGGGAAACTGAGTAGCTAGCGTTATTTCAATGTGTTTTTTAGATGACCCACTAGTATCCATAACTATTCAAGGAATGAACTTCAGTGTTGTTTTAGATCAAGATTATCTGAATCAAGACTACTATATACCATACAATTTTACATACAACGTTCCTATATCCAAATATATGCCAGACGAGCACATCAAAATCCTATTCAGGTAAACACTTGCCATTATTTAACCCCGGTTTTTAATCAATCAATTTACTTGCAGGCTAAACTCTCTAAGAGATCGGTTTGTTCAGAACTGCGGCAATGAGGTGAAATATCATCCCTGCTCAGCAATTTCCCTGATTAACCAGAACAATGAGGTGCATAAGCTGAATCGGTTTGATCACACTGTACATAGAGGCCCGAATGTAACGGTTTTAGTGGATATGGCCGATCTCCAGTCCAATTTTGTGACATATCGCATTGGATCTAACAGTTTTCAAGAGGTAATTTCGACAGCATAGTTATTCGCTTGTAATTTTCCCGACATCTTTTTATTCCAGAACCTCTGCAATCTAACAGACAACAAGTTGGGGGTCGATTTTAAAGTCTACCATTTCCATTTTAAACGAGATTGTGACGAATGACTCTCTTCAGACGTACACAAAACTTGTCAGCAATGTAATTCCATATATTATCTGTGTTGTTGAGTGGACAATTTTGAAATAGAAGAATATAATAGATGAGTCAGAAGCCCGTGTTAGATAGGAAAGGATAGAGCACTCGATATAAAAATTGGTTGAACAACTAGAAACCTTAAGTTTTTTCCGGAGAAGTCACTCATGTCTTCAGTTGTTTAAAGTTCACGCTTGTAAATTTTTTAGCTTAAATTGCCAATTGAACATTTGTCAACTCAACAACAAAAACATTTTACTATCGTTTCTCTATATGCATTGTTGTCAGCTTCTAGAATCTCTAAGATTAATATTATGATCTGTATTAACTCTATGCATTCCTAATAGTCGAACAAATATTTTATTTATATTTTATTTTTATGAGATTTCTATATTATAGGGAATATTCAGTTATGAGACTCGTTTTTAGTTTTAAAAAATCAAAAAAAATCCCAATCAAAAGGCTTTCTATCTAGTAAACGTTGAACAGTTCCAGAGAACAAAAAAAACTTTTCTACGCTTTCTTCTTTTCTAAGCGAATTTCTACCTTGTTTTCAGCTCGATCAGTTTTTTAATTATATGTACCTAAGTATATTATTGATAATTTGCGGTGTATAATAACTATTGATACAAAATAAGTCATAATCAACAGATTAGCTCCTGTTTAGGTTCTAGTAATGGTAGTTAAGAGTAAGTTGCAATAAGAATCAACTCTAGCACCTAAATTGCGATTGAAAACTGGTATGTAAAAACACGACTTTATTGTATAAATATATGAAAGTAACTCGTTCATTTTTAAGGCAAAGCTAGGGAATTAAAGGTAATATATTTCGTATTAGTATGAAGTAGAATCTGTTGTTCGTTGCGAAAATTAGCGGACCGTTTTTTATGTGAAAGTTGGTTAGTTTTTCGGGGTTTCGGAAAGCTTTGCTTAGAACTGGTGAGCCCGAAAATATCACACACAAAAATAATTTTATTAGCATTCTCTTACCAAAAAAACCATGTTCGAACCTTCTGATTAGATTCTTTACCAATTGCCGCATTTATATCTGGTAGAAATCGAAACATCTTTACTGATTTTTTGTTATGTTTATTTACGCTTGCACATCAGAATTCCGTGCTGTCGTCTCGATCGCACTTTGCTTAGAAATATCTGGAAATATTCACGAAAATTAGCGAAATGTGGAATCGGCTTCGGTTCACTTACCATTAATTACGCTTTCCAACGTCCCGTTTCTGAAAAAACATCCAAGTTTTTTGTGTTCTCCCGAACATATATCAGTGACTGTCTGATTGAAGTTCCAGAATAATACTGTTTGGTGTCTCAGCTCCAAGTCCTGCAGCAAATTGAAGAAACCCTAAAACAAAGAAAGTTATTGCTATTTATTTAATAAGCTACACTTTTCTCGCTGGTTCTTACCCTCGCAACCGTAGCATCAACACTGGGAACGAATTCCCCGTCTATAACTATTAGGGACTCACTCTCGCCACAATCCTTGAGCATTTTTTCCCGCAGGAATTCAGCTGATGTAAAATAAAGACTGGCTTTCGGCCGTATTACGTAAATAATGCGCTCCTGAAGCATCAACCGTTCAACGTACAACTTGGGCCTGGCAGCATCGTATAGAATGAAAGTCAAATTGATTCCTATTCCTATGATAATCCCGTATTCTAGGCTTATCAGCAAGCAACACATCAGAGTAGTGAAGAACGGAATTAGGTCCAATCCTGAAGAAGAACTCGAAAAAATAGCTTGTTAATTTATTTGGTATTATTACCTTACGTTTGGTTCGCCACATAATGGGAATGGCATCGAACTCGCACAAATAGTACATGGCCACAACGATCACTCCAGCCAAAGTAGCCTTTGGAATATACTTGAAGGCTCCAGTGAGTAGAACCAGTGCCACCAGTAACATGCAGCTGGTAATTACACCTTAAATATAAACTTATGTACACAACTAAAGGAGTATTTTCTCTCCTAAGTTACCCGCAATTGTAGTTCGGGCTCCTGATGCATTATTTACTGCAGTTCTGGTAAATGATCCAGTGACGGGCATGGATTGCACCAAAGACCCTGCAATGTTGGATAGTCCTAAGGCCATTAGTTCCTGAGTAGCGTCGATGATTTTCCCTTTGGCTGCAGTGAAGGAAATCATGTGAATTCAGGATAAATCGCTTGTGATTGTTACGTACAAAAAGCTTTAACTATCGCAATATGCTCTAAAAAGGCTATTATTGGACAAAAGGCCAAAGTGCTTCCATATTCAGACAGCATAGCTGAAAAACTGTAATAAGTGCCATTCCAAGTAACGCTGAATGGAGGCAGGGATAGATCGGGCAAACCTCCAGCTACATCACCTAAATCAGAACATCATTCAATTATTTTCCAAATTTACAGGCATTTTCACTCACCTGTGAGGATAAATGGGGTGGCATTGTAGCTGTTGTGAGCCACATATGCGATTGAGGTCCCACCTATAACGACCACGGCGTTTCCAGCCAAAGAAAAAATGAAGAGAAAATTCCCCAGTAGGTTCCGATTTCGCGACCATTCAGGCTTGTGTTTCAACGATCCATATTTTTTGATTTCCTGATTAAAAAAAACATGCCATGTAGCTTGATTACTTGGAGTATTTTCCGCATCAACTCACTCTGAAAGCGAACACAATGAAAATGGTCATAAATCCCAGAATGGCGTCCCATTTTCTGGTCTCTTTGATGTTCTTAAAAAGCGATATCCAGGCATCCAAGAAAATACTCGCAGGCCCTGAAATGCCCAAGAGCTGCTTCAACTGAGTCGACGCTATACTTAGCGCTGCAGCTGTGGTGAAGCCCGATATGACCGGGAATGAGAAGAACTGGACGAGAAAACCTGAAATATATAGTTTAAGGGATAATAGTTTTTCTTCCCAGAAAATCACCAAAAAATGCACATCAGCTTAAAAACCGGTGCCGATTCTCGGGTTATTAGGCGAGCGCATAAATCAGGCCGTTTATGTGCAGCTGCGCTAATTGACGCGACTTATTTTTCGTAGTAATTTTATAATTAATGCCCATTTATCGTCACTGGATAACTTAAAAGTTGCAAAATACGCCCGAATCTGGTAAATGTCAATAATTTATTTTCTAACAACGTATTCATTGACGGCTTATTCAGTCAGTTGTTTAATGGCGGATCGTAGAGACTTTGTGTAATTCGCTTCGTCAAGATCTCAAAAATTGTTGAGTTTTTCCGATTTGCGCGCGGAAATTTTACAATTCTCTTCAAAGGTAAGTTTCCCTTTATCGTTTGGTGGTATTTTCCCGACGGGTAGTGCGAGTTTAGTGCAAAAAACCGGATTTGAAAACTCGGCATTTGCCTGACGTTTGCTGTCAGTTGTCAGCAGAAGTTAGAATGGGAATCAGGACTAAGGATCATCCATATTTGAGGACTTTGGGATTATGCGGTTCAGAAACGAGTGGCTTAATGGTAAGTGCGATTTCTTCATATTTTCACCCTTAAATGATAGCCAAACTGTTTATTTCCTCAAACCAGAACTATTTTAAACGGCTTCCTGGAAAATGAGAGGTGAAAGTACCAATATTTGAACCATTTATCGGGGTTTTTTCGACAGTTTTGAGGCAAAACTCACTCGATTTATAATCTACATCTAGTTCATTTTCACTTCAATGCTTCATGTCAATTTTCCGATAGAATTCGATGATTTTTAACACCCTGTAATTGCGTGCTAGCGAAACGTTAGGGCCAAACTCCTACAGACAACTGTATAATAAAATGCGAAAACCGGCAGTTTTTCAAGCGATGGCCGCGAGCATCTTTTTGATGCTGGTTTCATAGCAATAACTTTGATAAGTCCAGAACTTAGTAGATTCTCCTTCAAACAATGCCATCTTACCTAAACGTAGAACTCCAGCCATAAAAATGATGATTCCCGAAAGAAACGTGATTAGAATAGCGCCACTTGGTCCCATAGTTGTGACGCTGCTTTGCACGATCAGCGCCATAATCGCGGTGGGTCCCACGTTAATATCTTTGCATCCACCAAAAATACAGTAAATAAATCCACCCATAATTGCGCTGTATAAACCATATTGAGAGGGAAGACCTGCGTAAAAAAATCAATTCAAACCCAGTCTATTCAAATAATTCAGATAATAACATCAAAACACATTTGATTGATCGATTTTTGAAGGATTTTTCAAATACCTGCAACGATCGCATAAGCGATGCCCTGAGGGATTTCGGTAAGCCCAACGGTAAATCCGGCCAGAAGATCTTGGAAGAATAGGTAGATGGTGTACGAGGGTAGCCATGATATAATAGGAAACCTGTTTGATACAATTTTTTTTATAATGGCCGAGTCGATCCTGCGAGGACTTGGCTCGTCTGCAAAAAACATTTTCATTTTTTATCCGAATCTTTCATGGTCACCTAAAATTAACTATACGTACTCACAGCTGAAGATGTCTGCATTTGTAAATGGGAATGTTATACACTTATCGAAATTTACTCAGTTCATGGCTACGCCAGACTAATCAAATAAAATGAAACTTGAAAAATTTAATTAGGTATGAAATATTATCGTTCATTCCTACTCGGAATCAGTGTTACGAGATAATTGTTTGTAAATCATTTGCATTGCCGACAAGTTGGCTTATCTGACTAGCTGAGATTGAGGTGCTTCAATCGACGCTACTGTGCAATATTCAACAAAAAGTTGTACTTAGTTGAATATTCAGTACTTGCGGTTTGTACACTTGTGGAAATACTAAAAGTGGAATTAAATTTGACAGACAAGGTCGAGTTTTTTGTATTTTTAAACCGAACACAATGACACGCTTCGAGAGAATACATAGCTTTATTGAGTCTGAAGTGGTCAGCCTTCATATACAGGGTGGTCCAGGTTGCAGAGCGGAAATTCAGGAAACGATAGAGAATCGAAAAGCAATATGAGTTTGCAACTATTTTCGAGCAAACTATTAACTCTTCGTTAAGTGAAGGGGTTTGCTACAAGTTCGACTTGAAGAAAATCAAATTTATTAATTTGTATAAAACGGCTGTGGACATTTACAGGAAATTTTGCACGGTTAATTAAAAATACGTTAAGGGGCGGTTTTAAAGAAAAAATTGATACGACATTGCTTTTTCGTGAAACAAAAATCAGGTTTGGATTCTGGACAAAAAAGTTCCTTTCAATTTCTCTGTGCAACTCAACGGTTTCAAGTAAAAAATGAAAAAGCTGATAATCGTTTAGTGAAACTGATAGATAATAAAATCACAAATTCAATCGGTGATGTACCGCACCTACAAAAATTAAGGAAATTGTTCGAAATGAAGTCGACCCGCTTCAATACATTTTCTGCATCTTGATACGACTTATGAATTTATTGCAGCTGATACTTGATTGGAATTTTTCCGCATATGATTGCAGGCAGATTAATTCAAAAACGAACTATTCTCTGGTTCAAGCAGAAGTAGCCTGAACTTTGTCGCATGCCCTCAAACGTAAAAGTCCGTTGGATTAAGATCCGGTGATCTGGGTGGCCAGCACAAAACACCTCTGAAGCAGTGGTGGCCAGCCCACATTATCATTTATTTCATTCATTCCTAACGGGTCAATCGAACGTCAAGGATAATTAATATTAAATATTTGGTCATTCTCTTGTTACAGGTGCAGTTGCATTGGCTCGTTCAAACCTCATGAATAATTAAAGTGATTTTTATTTTACTAAACTTTATTAAAAAACTGGTTTTTAATATTCCAAATATGCTCCCGCGGAGGCAGTTATAGCCTTCACCAACAATTAATAAATTTGATATTTTCAACCGCGCATTGTAACACTTGACAGAATGGTGAATGATCACTGATCAGTGATTATTCGGGGAAGCTGTTAAATTATTCTACTAAACGGGGCGTAATAAACGATCTTTTCCATTAAAACTGTTATAAGAACGAGTACAAAATGTCTAGTCTTATATTAAACAGAACCTACATACAAACAGCAAAAAAGTCCCTTCTTAAGCGATTTCAACCGTTCCGCCGACTTTCTCAATGGCTTCCTTCAGTTTGTCGGCTTCATCCTTGGGAATATCGGCCTTAACCACCGCAGGACTACTTTCAACGAACTTCTTCGCCTGCACCAGGTTCATGCCCTCCATCAGATTCTTAATTTCTTTGATCAAGGCGACTTTCTGTTTATCTTCGAACTTCATCAGTTTCACCGTGAAGGAAGTCTGGACTTTGACGGGAGCGGCCTCTTCGTCCTCTTCCGCTGCTGGATTCGCCATTGCAAAGCCTCCAGCTGGAAAAACTGGGGCGTCGGGCAGATTCAGCCTCGATTTCAACACGCTGCTCAGCTCGGACACTTCGATCAGATTCAGCTGGGAAATGTCGGTGGCGATTCTGTTAATTTTTTCGGAGACTGGCTTTTCGATGCCACTGGGCGGTGGAATTTCCAGCGGTTCCATTGCAGGCTCTTGAGCCCCGTGGGTCAGCAGTGCAGGCACGCTAAGGTGACAAAATCTAGCTTAGTTAAAGCCCATCGGCGACAGAACAGCAAGAATACCTCGTATGCAGTTGCCTCCATTGTCTGGCAATTGATCTCACGGCCAGTTTGGTTGCGGATTGCATCTTTTCTTTACAATTAGCGATTTAACGTTGAAATTATCCAAGTTACACCAATCACCTGGATCTGGATTATTAGGTTATGTTTGTTATTCATTGTTATGTCAGGTTCTGCTTGAGTAGGGACCTTTAGCTTGTATAAGACGTTTGTGTTGGGTGAGGCAGATGGCAGCAGGTTCTCGAAATGTCCAAATCTCTGACAAAATGATAAATATTCTCCACAAAATATCCCCCTATATAGGGGTATGTTCTGTGATAATCTCTACTGATCTGGAAGCTAATTTTGTTACACCAACACGAACCAAAGGCGCTTTTCTGGATGAGCAGCGGATTAAAATACAGAAAATTATCTTTCCTTATCTCAGGAACAGATACTGAAAGTTTTCCGCATTTTTCACTTAAACAACTTGTAAAAAACTTAAAAACTCAATTGCTGTTTTAAAATCATTCCACTGGTTCAGACGTAATTTGTTTTTAAGTTGTCACTAAGCAATGGCTACTTAATTTAAGCAACTTTATCACAGCCGCCTTTCACCTTGAAACATCGCAGACTTATGAATAAGGCAATTTTATTGTAAAATTAAATCTTCTAGATCATCAGGATCTACGTCAATACAATAAAGTAGCATAGAAAATGATAATTAGTTCACATCCATCATCAAACAGTAAAACCGGTTAAGTCCCTTACTTTCTCCATTGAAAAGTTTCCATGAATATCCAGGGCTTGATATTTGTTTTGGCAGCCTTTTGCTGCAAATTCTCTACAGTAAGTTGCTACAGTTGTAATGGGAGTTTAAATTACTTGTGAAGTTTTTAGGCAGAATTCTACAATGTGGCGATAATGGAGTACGCGATCAATACAAACTTTTCCCAACCCTCAGAGTCGATTTTACAGGAAAATACTCGCAATTATTTAGATTTGATAGGGGATTTAGTTAAAAACCACTCCGATCCGGTAAAACAACCATAAACTATCATAATCTAAACGAATCTCAATCTCTTTTTCTGCGTCCAGGCACTGGACTTGATAATTTTCCCAGAATCCACTCTATCTCCATCTCAAACTATCTCCACTACATCTGCCCAATTACCAGCTGACCAAGAAGTTCTATGCAATTCCAACGGCTCTTACTTAGAGTTTTTAAAGGACATTTCCTGTGCATCCATCAACTACAATACAACCATCATCATCAACTTTACAGAGAAGGAAATTTGCCAAGCCGGAGAAGGAGAATGCCCGGAAACAGGCGAAATCTTCTATAATACGAACATCGCTTTGGGTACCGAAGGAACCATCATTGGCAGGTACCATTTGATAGAGTATAGAATGATCTATCCAGAGCAATAAATGAAAAATAGGTATCGCAAGTGGAACCTGTTTGGAGAATATGCCAAGAGTAAGCCTGCCAGTTTGGATTTGCCGGTTTTTTCCATAAAAAATACGTCCTTTGGAATGATGACCTGCTTCGATATTCAATTTGGAGTACCAGCCTTCAACTTAACCAGGGACAAACGAGTGGAAAATGTGATTTTTCCTTTGTACTGGATATCTGAACTGCCATATTTAACAGGTAAACTCCTCCAAAAGTCTCCAAAGAATTAAACCCCCTGGTTATTTCAAAGGGAGGACGGTAGGTAGGCAAGACGGTGGCCTCCGGGCCTCGTTCAAACAAGCCCTCTAGAACATGTAGAACAAGAATGAATTGTAAGTGTGCGCGTTGGAAAGAGAACAAACGCTTTTAGTGGAGCGAAATAGATGATCAGCTAGTGTTTATTGTCACTGTCTAACACATTTATAGGTGAAAGATTCAAATTACATAACATAACAAACTTACCCATTGGGCTCGAACTCATATACTTGCCATGCCACTCAAAGTGTTCTAAACGCAAGTGCACTCATGAAACGTTTTTGTTGTTTTTAACGCGTGGTCAACACTTTAATGCGGATTTAGGCTGACAGATGAGGTTATGGTGGAAACGTAGTCGGATCGCATGTGCAATAACGTTCTGGCGCAAAATTGACCATTTTCGAAAATTGGAAATAAAATACGCTTTTTGAAATCGTGCCCTTTGAAATGCTCTATTTAAATCGGCATTACTGATTCCAGCTCTACAAGTGGAGCAAATGTGGGCCCAAGAGTTTGACGTGGTTCTATTGGCCTCTGGAGCAAGTTTACCCAGAACTGGGGCCGGAGGATCCGGAATTTTCCTAGGTAGGTTTTTCGTTTTTCATCAAGAGAAGAATGTTGTTCGTTTTTTTAATGTACAGCGGCAACTTTTTTTAATTCCTTTAATTTTGTCGTTTCCTGGTTTAATTGGACTCATGTGCATGAGGAAAACGGTACTTTTCCTTTGATAAATAATTAGTGTTCTTACCAAATTCTTTACTTTCCAACACTAGTTGTCTTGGCGTTTTATATTAAATCACAGTAGTACTTCATACAATTGAACTTTTGCTTCCAAACAGGTCACTGTGCACTTTCTGTTACAATAAAAGTGCACAATTTAATGTGCATCAAGCAATGAAAACTAGAGCGTTGCAGCTCAACCAGTTATCTAAAAATGAGCCAACGAATAAGAACAGTTAAAAAAGGTGCACAATTTAACCCTCTATAAAGCAGTGAAAACTTGAGCTTCGTAGCTGTACTGATACTCTAAATACGAACCAACAGCTAAAAGCGGTTTTGAAGATACGCATTAATTTTGAATTTTTGTATTTAGTGCTCTATCCCACAATAAAAACTAGAGCTTTGTTCGAATTAGCGACTTTCGCGGTTCGACTAGTGACGACTAGACGGAATTTTGAAATTCCGCAATTTGCGTGAAAACTAGAAAGTACAAAAAAAATGTTTTAACCGAGAATCCCATCAATATTGTAATATTTTATGTATTGATCTCATCTTTAATAGGCAAAGAAGGAACGTTACAGAGTGAGATTTTGCCAGAAAGCGGCACCAGAGTTTTGGTCCACCGAGTGCCAACAGACAAGAGCCGATTCCAAACTCCATACGAAGAAACCAACAGCACAATAACAGACGAATTGGCTCTGGATCTGGATGATTTTTACATGCTTGTTGATCCTTCAATTAGGGGTATTGAATGGTGATTTATCCATGAATAAGCTGGAATAAAGTGTTTCCTTTCAGAGCACAACTCGGTTATTCTCAATACTAGTCAAGAGCGAGTTGAAACCACAGTATGCCATGGAGAAGACAGCAATGCGCTTTGCTGTGACTTCAATGTGTCCCTATTTCTAAACGCCGTAGACGAGTCTCTAAGCGTTTACACTTATCATTTGGTGGCGTTTAACGGCATTAGAACATTCTCTGGACTGTACTATGGCGGCGTTGAGACCTGCGGGATTGTGGCCTGTTTAAATCAGTCCGTTGAGTCCTGTGGACAAAGGCAACAGGGTGTTAACAATTTTTCAACAAAGCAATTAATTGTCCTGCTTCAGGTTTCCAAACTACAGCCAGATTGCTTGGCCAGTCACGTTCAGCTCTATCACGGTTTTGGGAAAATTCGCTCACTCAGCTCAACGAGTTGAATATCCCACCACTTTGCTGAGCTCAATTCGGCCGCTGCCCGTGAAAGAATACACTTGGACTAGCCAGACTGGGGCTGGGATTGTTGAAAAAAATATTACTTTGCTAAAGCCCCAAAACAGACTGTTGGCTTTCGGGATATTCGGCAGGGACTATGAACGGGATTGGGATCCCATTAGGAGCCCACCCAGCAGCGACAGCATCACTTGCTCTGTAACACTTTCCATTTTTCCTCTGCTTATTGTCGTGCTGCTCAACCTAAGGTAAACATCTAAGAAGTTATCACTTATCGTTTGTTCCAAACAAGCAGAGTAGTACTAACTAAACATATATTAAATGCGTTATACAATACCTAAATAGATCTTTCAGAATACAATAAACACTTGCTTAGGAGATTGAATTCTTTCACAAATACTTCATGGTTGTATTTATTCGGGGGGTAAAACCACGCAATCCATACTTTTCAGATTTAGTACTTTTAATCACTTGCAATTTTTTTTTATCCAAGATGAAATGATGAAAATTTGATATGAATGGTGTTGATATGTTTGCGAAATGTGTTTCGACAGGAGATTCAGGAAATTTAAAAGTAGCTTGAAAATGACTCATGATCATGTTGAGACTAGAACCAATATTAGATTATTTCGGAGAATATGCAAACTTATGTTTCTGACAAAATAAAAATATCCTGTATATTGTAAAAAGTGCTAAACTAGGATAAATGCCAATTATATAGATCGAAAGTAGCTAAACAGCGCGGACAGTCATCCGGGATATTATCTATCACTTTGCGCCTTCCTTGGATGAACCCTTGGAACAGTCTACCTTGAAACCATATTTAATTAGGGACTTATCATCCACTATCTCGCGGAAGCTTCATTTTGATTTTGCATGGTAATGTGAACTAGAAGCGAAGCCAACTCGAGGTCTTCGCTGTAGGCGTTCTTCAGCCAAATGCTTCTATACCCTCTTCTAATGCACGTCAGCTAAAAAAGTATTGTCTGATTAAAAAATATCGCAATTAACCATCGAAGCCACTCACTGGGTATGTGGCTTGGCCAATGAAATTCGGCTCGCCGAAAACATCTTCGTTTTGCACCGCAAATCTCAACAGCGCAAAACTTGGATTATAGACGGTAAATTCGCAACATTCATCGCTCCATTTCGGACTGAATCCATTATCCATGATTCGTTTCGTCGTGTGCTTAATTCCCGAATCAAATGAAGCTCCTATGAGTTCTACTTCGACAAATGGACTTGCAATGCCCTTCTTCGACCTAAAAAGTTAGTTAGATTAGTTTTGGCCTTAAAACGATCTAGATGTTAGTGATTTTGCGGTTTATTCAATCAACGCAAGGTTGATAGAATTTAAATAATGACCTGCTTAAATGTCGTCCCGCGATAATCCGTATTTTCACTGTCACAGGTTCAACGCCACTCAACGAATTCTTGTCGAAAGGATCGAAATCCGACCTACAAAACAGGGCGTATTAGACCATAAAAAGGCTGAAAAAATTCCCGATTACCTTGACATAAATGCAGGCTTTAGCAAATAGCCGCAAGCGCCGTTATCCCTGAACTTGGCCTGATTTAATTGCATTGGTTTATCGCCTGTTTGGTAATTGAGAGCCACCATTTGCGAGCCGCAATTCCACATGTTGATCGGGTTGTAGTTCGATGAATCGATTCGCAGGCCGTTGGGGTAAACTCTTGAAAACTGAATCTAACCACAGCGAGAAGATTAATGATTTACTTAGTATCCTGGTTGAATGGAAATTGCGGGCTTACCTGATGGTATTTTAAGAAAAACGCCCGCTCCATCTGGCAGATGAGCTTCTCGGCTTTGGTTTCGGGAAACGACGACATTTCGTAGAACACAAACCCCTGTCGGGCTCTCTCCATACTGAATGATATCGACCTGCAGTAAATGATTATGTTGGAAAGTTCCTTGGCTATCCGATAGGCTCGTTCCATTTCCCTATGCTGGATCTCTTGTTGCGTGGCCTTTTGGGTCACGTCGCGAATAGCAGTCAACCACTCCATTGCCTGCAATAATTCACATTCTTAGCTCGGTTCAAGCCATCACAAGCCATCATTTACATTGTCGCGGGATTGTACGGCAACATCAAAAGCCATCAGGGCAGTGGAAGAATTAATCCTGATTATCCATTCCAAATCGGGCCGGTCGGGGTTATGCACGAGATTGACTATAGCGCCTTTCATATCTAGGGAACCTTGTATGACCGAATCTCCAGTCTGAAGCAAATTATTTAGTTAAATAAAATAGCAAACACTGTTAGAACAACGGTGAATTTACCCCATCATCATCCATATTCGGCCCAGTTCGATCAATTTCCTCCACATAAGCGGCTGGAAAATACAACTGTCTGGCACCTCCATAGTCCCCTCGCCACCAATCCGCATTATCCGGCAGTTTGGTCACATTGGTGATGATGGCATGACGACAAAACGACAACTCATCGGTTCTTTGCCCGCGATAATCGTACTTTGCCTTCACCGTTATCTTGGGGGCGAAGGCCGAAGGGTCCATGTATGAGGGCGTCGTGTGGTTGTAAGGGGACGGCTCATCTTGCTCCTAAAAATCAATGGCAAACGTAAGTTTCCCAGTTTCGTGTGGAGAAATATTGATATCATTATTGGGTAAACGGCACGGAAAACTTATTTGTCTGATTTATATTTGGAGATCTTCAGACTGAGGCCAAACATCTCTGAGGAATTCGTCTCGGATGATTCATTTAGGGGCACAAAGAAGCTATCGCTCTGTACGAAAGGAGCGTTATTTCTACCGATAAATAACCAGTTTTGGTGCGAGGATAATGCTTGAAGCCGCATGATTGCCCTAAAGAGAATTATGGACCTACGCCCAGCCTTAACTAACTTGATTTTGCCTTTTTTCTAGAGTCATCAGCAATTATTCAGTTTTACCCACATCCCAAGCCCCCAAGTTAAACAGAACAATTTCCTTCAAAAAACAAGCCGAATTGAAACCAATTTAAAAGAGTAATTATTCTGGTCGGTCGATTTGCCTCGTAGGTTCCGATACGGTTAGTGCATTCCAAAGCCAAGGGTTAAAAAACTCCATCAAGGGAGTTGGTTGAATGTGAAAAGACCGGCGCAAGATGACCCGACTTGAGACCATTAGATCCCGACGGCCAGACAGGTAGAACGCCGACAGAAAGCCAAAAAGCCATTGCACTCTGAATATGGTCTAGGCTATTACAGGTTTTAAAGGGCTTTGGTCAGGTGGTCGCGGCTCCTAAAGCGTCATTTACCAGCCGAACAATATGCGGGTGAAAGTGATCTTTGCGGTAAGTGATATTCTATTTTATTTTCGTTTTCTTCTTCAATAAAATTAGTTTTTTTTAATCAAATTCAATGTTTGCATACCTGCGTTGTTTTCAAAAGATTTTTGTTCAGTTAATTCTGCACAGTGCAACACTTTTCAAACGATTTAAGTATTGAGTGGGACTTTCGATTAGTTTGTTCTACAGTTGTCGTATTGTAAAACATAATTAATTTCGAAAATGTCTCCAACATATTCTTGTATTAAATTAAAGTTGTTACGTTCGTACGTTGCTTTAAGAGTGTTGTTTCTTGCTTTTCCTTTCTTTAGCCAAATGTATTGACACATTTATTTCACATTTCTACATCATTTTTCGCCAATTATCTGCCAAAATTCGACCCAAAACCAACGGGTTGAAATTTATTAATGTTTCGCAATTCGAATGCAATTTTGAATGGAAATGAAATCAACTGATACAATGATTTAATTATTATTTATCAGGAACTGTCGCGTCTCATTTTAAAGATAATTCATTAGAAAGCAGCGGTTTTTCCACAAAAATATACACAACTTCTGCTTTTGAGAAACCGCCAACGCTTCGACTTCATTTAAGTCTTCAGTCTTGCAGCTGATGACCTAAAATTGTTGTACTTGTGTACATTCTTGTTCAAAACCCTCAAGTTACTAATTGAAAAAAAAAATTAAGATATTCTCTATAAAATATAAATATATATATAATAAAAGATATCTCTCTATTAAAAGATATTCTCCTTTTCAGGTTGTATTGACCACAATACTTCCAGCGACTCTCTGTTTTCCTTCAGAGTCCTACAAACAACCAAATGCATCATCGGACACTCCAACGCTGAACTATCCGACGCTAAGGCACCAGTCCAGCTACAGAAGCGATGAGCTGACCAATCAGCAAGCGAAATCCGAAGAACCCAAGTCAGTTAAAAAGGAGAAATCCATCGTAACTATTGAGGAGGAACGGTTTCCCTCCTTGGACGAGCTGAGAGAAAAGTGCCAGCATTTTTCCAGGTAATAGTCCTGTAGACAGTTCAGGGCGTGAATAGGAAAATAAAAAAAAAATTCCAGGCTCTTTGGACTGAACCAATATGGAAGCGGTTCGATCGAAGGCGAAGAAAACGGCGACTATTCAAACAGGCGTACCAGCAGCACTATGAGTACGGACTATTATAATCGGCCAGTGATTGAAGTCACCCGCAGACCAGTTTTTATCAGGAATAAAGCGACTTTTATCGAGAAGGGCAGCGGAGGCTTTTATGTAACTGCTTCATCTATTGGTGAGTATAAAATAGATCATTTTTGTATATGTGGATTTTGGTTTTGGCCTCAAGCAAACTTTGCGGCAGGTTCACCTCTGTTTTGGCGATTTTTAGGAAATCCATCAACAACCACCAGAAAGCCGGTTTGGAGCACCGCGTACTCAAAAATCCTGCCTCCTTCCACACTCCATACAACCACAACGCCTAAACCAACAACTACAGCCAGTACTGAGACTGTCCCAGAATCCACAACGCTTAAATCAAAAATCAAAGTCAAGTACACGAAATTTGAGCCCGTTATTCTGCAGAAAACCATCCTCACCGATGGGCGAGTTATGTATCATTGGCATAAAAGCCTGCCCACCGCCAGTGTGGACTTGGCAGGTAACTCACGTCTTACTTGAGCAAGTAACATAAGAGATTAATTAATGGGCGATTCCTCAGAGCCGTTGGCAGTACCGCCCGCTTATGAGTATCCTCCCAGGCTGCCACTGGGCCAGAGAAACTTGGGGAGCAATGAAGGGGTTCCGATCGAAGTCACTACCAAGCCCACAACAACCACGGAAAAATCCAGCTGGTTGTTTGTGCCATTTAGTAACTTCTTTGGCGGCTCGCACGAAGAGGAAAGCACGACGGTAACTGTTGCGGATTGCTTACTGACAGCGACTAACCAGGAAATTTTCAACAGGATGCAGTATCAACAACCACAACCAGTACGACTACAAGCAAACCTCCAGAAGACCCCCTAAGCACACCGAAACCAATTTTACGCCAGCTACCCACTGAGCCGCCTGCCAAAGCAGCAGTAAGTCTTCGCTATACACCTCAGAAGCTCTCGCCAACAACATTTTCCGCAGGAATTAAAACTAGTGGTCCCCATCCACTACGACAACATAGATTCGACTCTGGGAAGCCAAAGCGAGAGATTTGGGTTCTACCGACCGCCAGCGGGTGCTACCAATGAACCCGTTTCATCTTCATCACTGCATGTAATCAAAACGGTGGGCATGCCTCAACATATACCCAGATACAGTTTAGGGTATACGGGGTCGGGCTACGGATTGACTTATGGAGGTTTGTATTCGCCGGAGTTTTTAAACTATCAGGGATATGAAAAATTGCCCTTGAATAACGGAAACGATAAACTGGCCGAGGTTTCGGTGTAGGAGTATCTGAAACGCTGGCGATGAAATGTGAGTACAACATTTAAATCCCTCCGCAAAATGCCGTTTTACCTTATTAATTAAGACTGAATATTATAGAGATTTTATGCAGGGTGAGGCAGTAGTTGCAGCAACTCGGGGATTTTATAGAGTAGAGTATTTTACTTGCGGAAATGCTTCGAGAATTTTTAGAACAGACTGATCCACCCTGTACTATCATTTATTTCAACCGTAGATACTTTATCTACCTGCCATTTGGGCAATTTTTATCGTTCTAATGATTATATTTAATTCTTTAAGAGTGACTGCATTAAATTAAGTGAATATTTGGGGAAACAATTTATTAGTCAACCCATAGAATTGATTGTGTAATTTCAATAGACTTAAAAATCTGTTTTTTGCCGCCTTAGGCGCTTGGTTTCAGTATTATTGAAGGAACGTTAACAAACCATTTGTTGTCATACTTCGAAAATACAAATTAGGCTGGATTCGTGCAATTATATGCTGTATATTTCGTCGATATGTACGATTTTATTTAACTTGTGTATTATGTGAACAATAAATATTTTATCACCACTTACCAATATCATCTGTCTGATGGTTTCTTTGGTTACAGGATGGCTCAGCTTGACGCGCCGATATAGTGCATGGTTTTCGTAGTAGTTGATCAATTCCACTAGGCTTTCGAACTCGACGCTTCCGATCGTGTATAAGCGCCCTTCCAGCTTTATTCGGCAGTGTTTAATCTTTCGGTCTGCTCTGGATTATTGGGAATTTATTGAAAATGCCTTTCTTTACAAACTGTTCGATAACAGCGTTCCTACCTAAAGCTGATGGTGTAACAGTTGGTGTCATTTTCACTGGGACGCACCAAAAATGCCCCTTCCGTCTTGATTCTCTTCAGCGCGTCTTCGGCTTGTTGTTTGGTGGTGTTTTGATGGTACCACCGTTCAGTTTCGTGAAGGTTTGGCTGCGGAACCGGTTCTTGTAGCGTAATGGAAAACTCTGTGGTTACCAATGGAGATATTCTGAAATTTCCCATCCACTCAGCTGTAATTAATGGACGGTTATTCGCGCTTCTACCCACCTGTAGTGCGTGATCAGACTGTATAAACTATCAAAATATTTCCCGTCTATTAGGTAGTACTTGGTTTGCTGCTTGTCCTGCTTGGATCTGATCCGGCAGTGATTAACTTGCCCACTGCGCCAGAAGGAGAGAGAATATTCGCCGACAAAAGTCACACTAGCTCTTACCAGAAAGGTCCCGTCGCCTACAACAGGTTTTCACCAATCAACGGTAAGCCAATTAAGTGATATTCTCTATTCAGAACTTACCTAAATATGAATACATTTTGAGCAACTGCTCGGCCTCTTCCCGGCCTTTGGTCAACTTGCCATGAAACCACTTCTCGCTAAAATGCAACTCTTCGTTTGGGATATTTTTGTTGGGGCGTGCGAATGAAGAACTATCATCCTCTTCCTCGTCCCTGCAAGCAACAAAAAAGTCTAAACTTTGGACGCTTCAGAGCTGCATCGGAGCCACCGACTTTTCAGAATTTTCCCCGTCCAGCTTGTAGTGGCTGGTGTAGAACAGCTTGCCCTCATTCAACACGAAAAAATGCGGCGTCCACTCTTTGTCGACTGGATCTTCTATAAACATCTCTCCGCTTTTTATCGCGTTTCTAAAACAACACAAACCCCACATTGCTTTCCATATTAAGACGAATCGAGTGGTTTCGTTTTACCTTAAATCCATATTATCGGTGGATTCCATTCTGATGAATGAAGTGGGCAAATCCTCCTGGCCTTCAGGTAACTTTTTGTGTTTCAAGATGATTTTGCGGCGCAAGTTGTAGGGCGAAGGCAATTCCGACTCGTTCTTGTCGAATGGACGCGTCAAAAGCATGTCGCCGAAAATATCCTGAAATTACCGTCGCCCAAAAAAAAACGTTAATCGAACTTGCCCTGAAGGCTTCAATTACCTGCAGATTATTAGCCATTTTCCTTTGTTGGGGCAATGAGCAATTGTCCTCAATTGACAGTATCACTGGATATTCCGAGGTAATGAAGGCGTGATCCTTGATTGTTTTTATCACATCGATGAATTTAATTTTCGTAGTCAGAGTGTGGCCGTGGAAAATGTATGGGGTGCATTCGGGGCCGTCCCAACAATCCAACTCTATGCAGCGACAACCCATGCGAAGACATCGCGCATATGCTTCTACTGATGATTCCGATGAAAACTGATCGCCTGTTAGATATCTGCAAAAATAACGTTTTAATTTTGTTTTCAACGCGTTTTTTAGACGTACGTGTTGTGCGAAGAGGCAATCCAATAGTGACTCAATGGGCGGGTCATATCTTGATAGACTGTGTCTTTGGCCGAATCCCACAGGTCATTTTGTTTGGAAAAGAGATAGTCAATGAACTCTGTGGTATTGAGGCAAGGGTCCTCCACTTCCCTGAAATTTTTTAGAGCTTAATAAACAGGGAGTCTCCTAAAGGGGCTGGACGGGGCAAACCTTGAGGGATCTTTCAGGAAGTCGCTTACAAAGCTTCTAATTGCCTCTTTGGTGGCGGAGTTCGGATCCTGCTGCTCGCACTTGAAGAACTTTTGCAGCTCCGGCCAAGACAATTGTTTCAGATTAGGGGCATATTCCTGCACTTTATCAAATATGTCCACGATGCTCTGCAAAAACCATGGTAAATGGTGAGGCGCAGTCTGGGTTGGTGAACTTACACCCTCATCCAGCATTAACTTCTGGTACAAAACGGCGAAATCATCAAAGCCGATTTCCGCCCGTTTTCTCGTGTCGACTTCATTGAACAGTTCTCGCAGTTTGCTGGTAGAAAGCTTGTAATTTATTCTTGGGAGGAAGGACTTCAGGTCCTTCAAGTTCACTCTGGAAGATTTCGGTTTTGTTGCTTGTTTAGATGGATTGAGTTAAATGAACACCACTTACAATTCTCTGTTTCCTTCCATTTCGTAAAACTCCCGTCTTAACCAGCTTTGGACTTGTAGCGAGTACGGGGCAGTTATAGTGTCTTTTACTAGATAGTTCAGCCCTTTCACCCATAGTTTCCGCTCTTCTTCTGATAAAGCTGTACAGGAAAAAACAACAAATCTGGTGCTTTGCAGGAAGTTTTGCATCTTACCTGCTATGCTTAGCACTCTAAGCTTAAATTCAGATCCATAGAAAATAACAAAGCACTTTTTGGTTTCCTTCAATTTGGCCTCGTCCGGCCACTTTTCGAAATCCCTTGAATTCTTTCCCAGGCGAACTTCTTTGATTTCTAGCAGGTCTATTGTTCCTGCAGTTAAACGTGAGTTACAAAACACAGATTGGCTAGGAAATCATCAGCAAACCTTCATAACTGGGTTTAGAGCTGGAAGTTGTGGGGCGAGTCCAAATAATCTGTCGGGTGTCTCTTCTAATTGCCAGAGTTTTACTTTCAGGCCGTTTTCTCCAGGAGAACTTTGTTACTAACGTGCCCCGCTCTAGTTGGCTGATAATCTGCTCCATTTCAGGTATGTAACCTGTTCCGTTTTGCAACTGCGGGAACATTTTATGCGCTAAAACACAGGAAGCTTGAGTTTCCTGTCCGAGGCCAGTTTAAGGTAATTAATGTTCACTTTTACGGTATCTAGCCGGAATTCTAAGTGCTTGGAATTAGTTACAGAGTTAAGGCAGTTTTAACTAGTTTTGCCAAGTAAAAACAGTCCCACTTTCATGCCTATATACAAGGCTGATGGTTATGACAATTCTTTATTTTCGCTTTGCACGTATGTCTCAGAAGAGTCCACGAAACAAGGCCTCTATATCCAATTCAAAAGACTCTTCCTGTTTGGTAAGAAAGATGAGTTGCCAGCCATATGTCTTGCGTTGTGGCAGTAGAGGTTAGATTTGTTAAAACACTATAGAGGATTATTTCGCCTTGCGGGGAAACTGTTAAGGCAAAATTGGGCTTTATAAGGAACCGTAATTGAGTAATCACCTGGCAGTATTGAGCAGAACACAAGAGGAAACGAGAAAAGTGCACGCACACAAAACTAAACAATAACAATGATAAAAATATTTAAGGCTCAACAATTACATTATTTCGAACATGGTTAAATGCTAAATGAATCCACGGAAACTCTTCACGAGAGTCGGAAAAAGCAAAAACCTAAACATAAAAATAAACAAATAACACACATTATAATATGTCAAACAGTGACGTTTGTCATTGGCTACCACAGAACAACTAGCGCATATATCGCAATTTCCTCCTTGCTTAAATGACATGCGCAAGTCAGTTTGAGGTTACGTTAATCAAAACAAACTTCTAATTACTAAAACGGGTATGTATATGGTATGTATTAGGACTCGGGGCCAAACTCGAATAATTCCAGTATTCAAATATTCAAAAAGCGAATAATTATGTCTAGTCTAACTCGAATACACCAACATTATCAAACTCACAAAGTGCAAATATCTTTATATGCACTTTGTATACTTTTATAAAATCAATTATTTATATTCTACAAGCATTTAAACAAATAGTCATATATTTACAAGCAAATGAAAATAATTATTTACCCTCCTGCAAATGAATATAAAATTACGTGTCTGTGTTCTGGTGACTCGCAACAATAGAGTAAGTAAAATAATTATTTTACTTTCTCTATGCTCGCGACATCAACTTTTGCGCGGTGTTACAATTAAAGGTATTTGTACTGAGTTTATATCGACTAACGATATTTTTTCTAATTTCATATACAGCAAAAGACTGAACTTCTACTACATGACCCCCCCTGACTTGAAAGCTGGATCCGCGGCTGATGGTAGGGTAATTTAATAAATCTTACAACTGGGTATGGGAGTCGTGACTGATCAAAAAATACCTTACGTAATTTATGGACGGCCCTTAATATGAATAGGGAGCTATGATAAAATATCATTATTTCAATTTCTTCAAACTTACTTAAGGAACTATCATGGACAAGGATTTGTAAATAGAAACGAATCATTACAGTATATGGCTTTTATCTGTCTGTTTTCAATTTTATAATGTTTTTATAGACACTTTTTTTTTTATTGTTGTTTGGCTAGAGGCAAGAGGATAAAAATCTTCTCGACGACACCCAGCATCCCGAGACACTGGATAGTGTTGGATTCTTACCAAGTAAAAAACCCTCATTTTGGAACTGCAAGTTTTCAGGAGTTTCTCCTTTGAAACTTGTGGTTCCGTTTAAAAATGCGTCAGATCCGGTATCCGTATGCCATCACATCACATTCTCTCCACACTAGCTGCTTGCTAGATGAGCACAGAACATACCCCAGGGGGGATATTTTGTGCTAGATGAGCATCTTAACTAACTAGACAAGTAACTTGTCTCTGTAAGTATCTAGTAAATAGAAGTTTGTTTTGATTAACTTAACCTCAAACTAACTTGCGCATGTCATTTAAGCAAGGAGTCGATTGCGATATATGCGCTAGTGGTATGTTCTGTGATCTGTCAAGTTAACCTTAATAATGTTTACTTGATAAGTATACTTTTCAGAGAAAAAATACGTTTTCTCCACCTTAAAAAGTTTGGCAAAGCGTTAACAATGACGAAGCTTCTAGAATGGCTGGGAGGTGCTGGAGCACTGGGGGCAATATGGCTGGCCCTACTTACCAACAAAATTGAAAATCCTTTTTTTAGGGACCACTACACTTTCCTTTTACTCTCCCCAATTATAGTTGTCGGCTTATTTGGGGTAAGATCATTGTCTATATGCACCCTAGCAATTACTTGCCCTCTAATTATTGCGATAGCAAACTGTTCACATTCAAGTAATCATGTAATTTGGTTTTCAGTTGGCTTCCCTTTTACTGGTATTGTATAGAGTATATACGTTCAATGACTGTAATGATGCTGCAGCAGAACTGCAAAAGGTAATTCTTAAATTCATAGTTAGGAAACTTCGATTCAAGAATTGACTTTATCAAATACCTATGTGTTTCAGGAAATAGTTGAAGCTAAGCAAGACTTAAAAAGCCTGGGTTTTAAATTTAAAGACTCCTTTAAATAAGCATTTTTATTGATTCAGAGTGAATAGTGTGTTCTATATTTTTTATATACATAGTTGAAGTTTATTCCAAATGAAACGCAATAAAAATCAAATGGCGTTCACAAGTATTGAGTTAGAACATTCCCATACTCTACGCATGCCAATAAATAGATAATAATGATATATTTTTCACTTAATCTAAGGAAAAACATACGTACAATTCTCCCATACCTACTCCTTTCTTAAGTATTATTTAAATAAGTTTATATGCGGTACTTAAAAGCAGTCATTAATTTCTTGTGAATGTGACTGTTTGCTATCTATCAAAGTTAAATTATTTAAACTAATCAGCTGAAGTCACTGATTAATTTATGACACAAAAAACAAATATCACTATACATGCTTTATTCTCAAGTCTAAGAAACGCACACTTAGTTCGTTGGCTTATATCAATAAAGGGATATTAGGCTTGCAAATACAGTAGTCCTGATGTAACACTCTACAGTTTGGATTTAAATTTAGGAAACTTTCGATACCTTCTCTGGTCACTCCCGTATACGTGACATCAAGCAAATCCAAGCTCAAATTCTGAATGTATTTTAAAGCACTGTCTGTAATTTTTCTGTAGCCCCTCAGAGACAGCTTACGCAACTTCAATTTATCCTTTTTGATCATTACGATTCTATCTTGCTGTAACTGGTATGCAGGCCTGAAAAAATCAGTAATTGCAAAATTGCCCTAAATAACAAATGTTTCTAGTAATACAGGGTGTGCCCTAAGCACATTATCCTGTCCTGCTACATTATTTGGCTCAAAATTAGACGATCTGACTTAACTTTTATTGACCGATTGCTATTTCAGACAAAGTTCGTCAAAAAATATCCGGAAAAATTTGCTTAATATGTAAGACATATTTTGATGAAGTAGACTACCAGAACTACCGACCTTCTTAATCGGTAAGAAAATAAATTTTTTTGGTCAAAAACTATGAATGCTTTAAGATTTTACAAAGAGGTCAAAAAAGGTTTAGTGCATCGACCCAAAAAAAAAAATAGTTGAAACAGTTACCAAATTAAAAATTCTGGCAGTTTTCATACCAAGACACTCAATAATTCCCCACTTGCCCAAAGCTGATGAACTCCGTTGCTTCTTCAAAATTGCCTAGGAACAACTTTACCGCGACCCGATAAAAATACATCGTATCAATTTCCCAATGTTTCCAAAAACCATAATTTTTGTAAAGAACTTTGACGATAAATAGCAGAGCCAGACATTTTCTCTTATCAAAAGTTAGGTCAGATCGTTTTCTTTTGAGCCAAAGAATATCTAATTGCTCTTTTTAATAGTGTGCTTAAGGGACACCTTGTATATCGAAGGACATTTAAATACGCGTTTCCTTCTTGAAGTCGAACATTGTTTAGTTCTGAAGTGACTGAACTGATAAGAAATTGACTTACAGTCTAATAATTGGGATATCAACAGCATTCAATGGAAACCGTTGAAAAGCTTCAGCTGGCTCATCTTTTCTACCTGCTGCATTATCTGCATCCCTACAGTACAAAGTTGGAATATAACTATTGACATTAAAAAATAAAATATAAAAAGTAATCAGATACCTTTCAGGCTCTAAATATCTCATTTTTCTTCGGTCATTGTCCTCAACATTTGGCTCAGCTTTTCTTTTGAACGTGTTCCTACTTGATGTAGAACTGTTCCCTCGGGAAGTTGAAGGTTGCGGATCCGGTTCAGCACTGCTGTAAACATCAAATGTTTTATTGGACAACCTTACATAACTTTCTAATGAACAGTACCCATTCCTGTCTTCTGCTGCTCTTTGTTGGCCAATATCACCATCCATGTTCACCAGGTTCCTATCAGGCTTGAATATATCAATAACCACTGGTTCAGGTATGTTTCCTTGTTCGTCGGCCTAAGGCAAGATTGAAAAATTCATCCATATGAATGGATTTATTCGCAACTACGTACCTCTCGAACCTTCAAAACTATTAATTGATCTTTGCCCACACCGAACATACAACAGTCTAGGTCATCATCTGAATCACTATCATTATCAGAGGAATCTAAAAACACATGTTTCTCTTGCATTTAATATAAGAGTGCACATCAATTGAATTAGAACACTCGCCTGGACAGAACTTTTTTTGATTGTGGTAGAAAAAGTTCTTAAAGTCTTCTGGAAGCTTATTTAATTCCCTCATATGCCTGTGGCATATAAATTGCTGATGAGATAAGTCGAAATCGATGTAATCATCAATGCAGAAAGTCCTAATTTCCTCTTTTATATTCGATTCTTCGTTTATGGTCGAACGATCTATTAAGCAAGCTAAATATTCAATATATTAAATCTATACAGGGTAAATAGCAGTGAGTTGCAACAGATCAGCTTAAAATTCCAAGAAAAAAACCTAGATTTTTATGATGCAAATTAATTTACTCAAGCCGGTGCAAAAGTTGGTTGATAAAATCAAATTTAATATTTAACTTGACCTAATATCGACGGCGCACAATTGCGTCAAAACTTGAACCCTCGGGTCATCATTGTATAACACAATTTCTTACCAATTCGTTCGCTGTCTTTCCAACCACATGAACAGTCGGAATATGGATCTTGATACAAAATACTTTCTGGAAGTTCTTCGACTAGGTCCCCGATCGAATTGCAATATGGCTCCAAGCTGTTGTTTTTTACTGTGCTCTGCAGAAATTTATAAAAAATAAAAGGATTTGAGAATTTGAGCACAAAACTATTCACCTGCATCATTAGAGCGCGAGAACGCATAGTGAGATGAGGAAGTTTTAACAATACACGACCAGTCTCCAACTCATATGAACTCATACTTTGCAAATACAACGCCACTCTGTTTTTGTGTACTTGTACAAGCATCTCATGTGCGATAGCTGAAAGTTAGTGGTATTTATCATTAACTAAAGCATTCAAAGAACACATCGAATAACTATATTACTACTTACTTTAACACTTACTATTAAATCTGCAATCTACCACTTTCAGTTTTTTACAACCATATCTAGCAACATTGAGGTATGGCACCACATTCAAATGAAGCCGCATACATTTTATTATGGAAAGAATTTCCAAATTTTCATACTTGGCTACTGACATGAAAAAGTTGCTATCAAGCCAATCGCATTGATCTAAAATTAAAACCTACAAATTCTGAGCATTAACACTAAAATCATCTAGTAGTGAAATCTTACCTTTAAATTTCTCATTGTGGTATTTGTATTTTGAAAAAACATCTTCGCATTTTTCACATGAGTTTTCTTTAAGCTCAGCTCGACTAATGATTTTGGAAAATTTTGCAATGAAAGCTAAAAACCACAGCATTTACTACGAGGCATTAGTTATAATACTCTATAGCTGATTACCAGTCGACCATCAAACCTTTGGTTCTCCAACGCCAACACTGTGAGCTGTTGCAACTGACTCCATCCACTCAAAATATCTTGAGACAGTAAGCCATTATATTTGCTTTCTGCTCTTATTAGAATATGCATTGTTTTATCATGAACTCTATCTGAAACGTACTGTATTTTTTTGGTACTATTGGGGTCATGTCGTGCATCAATGTAGCGCCACAGCTGAGGGTCTTCCACAATATTTTTAAAGTACAAACAGGTCCTTAATGAGAAAAACTGATTTAGTTTCATCATGCTGGATTATATCGCATTTTATTCGCATGCTTTTTGCGGCTTGTACTACTCAAATATATTTTCATACCTTGTGGTTATTTTAAAAGTTGTTTTTTAAATTGAAGTGTTTAGTTAATATTTTCTGAGGGTTTCAAATGATTAGTTGCTTTATGTGATTCGGTACATAATACATTGTATATTTTTAATCGATTACCTGATTCACCATGATGTGCTGAACATAGTGCCGTGCAAAACGAGTAAGAAAAGTATATTGGTCAAGATGAAAAACTAGAAACTGAGAGAGAAATATAATTATTTTATATTTTAGGTATTTGCACGCACAGTTTAGTTTCAGTATTTTTATTATTATTTGTATTATAACAGAATAACTCTCAATTTATGAAAGCAGAGTTACTGACAAAAATCCATCGTTTGGAACATTTGCTTGTGTTCTGTGACATATTTTGCTTAATGCCTATTCCAATACCGAATCACAGTGCGGCAATAAAAAGTGAATGGGACTCCTATAATTGTTTTAAGATCCCTGATGATACCGTGATTTTATCGGAAAACCTTGAAGATTTACAAAGATTCAGAGTAACGACGAACGGAACGTCAAAGGTGAACCCTTCCAACAGGTAGAAAAATATACTTTTCTGGGAACTAAAGTCACTTGTAATAACGACTACACCAACGAAATAAAAGTATGTATAGAAAAAACAAGGTAAATATTCAATAGCTACGAAAACAGTTTGATGGAATAGAGATCTATTCTTAAGATTGAGACCGAGACTAGTTAGATGTTATGTTTTTGGAACGCAGAAGTAATCAGAAGGCAGAAAGGTAATCAACCTTTGAGATTTGGGTGTACAAAGGATACTGAAAGTGTCTGGGCCGATATGATAACAACTAAGAAATACTTTTACGACAAAACATTGAAAGAGAGTTGTTATCAAGAATTGTATTTAGCTACTCCTTGTTTATTGAGGTTCCTCCATAAATCCACAGATTGTGCAATATCTAAATAATATCCCATACAAAAAAGTGTGCTTCCACGGCCCTGTTGTCCCAAATATTCAAATGAACAAGTAAACCAAAACCAATTTAGAAAATACGTGGTAGAATGAAAACAAACCAGCATTAGACATTTAAGAGTTCAGTTTACAGGAAGTAAGATTTGTACTTGGGTTTTACTGTTTTCCTTTTGAATTGAAGCTATCTTGCCAAGGGTTTAATTTAAACACTGTTGGTTCGTTTAATATTCAGCTTATTGTTTGAGGGCCAAATGTAACTCGTTACATATGAATCTCTCATGGACGGACAAAATCTATATCTGAAGTGAAACGTACGCCAAAAGCGTTAATTGAAGGATAGTTATAGCAAGCAAACATGAAAGAAAAAAGCTAAATTAATGGAGCTTTATGGTTGAAACTATGAAAAACAGCACGTACCTGCTTAGGTTGAAAAGTGAGGTAGCATCCAGATAGGATAAAATGTACATCATGGCACAGTCAGACAGCTTCAAGATGTTACAGGCTTGCTGTTCGGTCCCCATGATTGAAAATGTTCTAAATATACTACTTTAGCTTCACACAGTTTCTATTGCACCAAAAAAACAATAACAACACAGATGACAATAGTATGTAGTCTGTGGTCTGTGATGACAACTAACTTTTTCCTTTCTGTTCTTCTTCTTCTTCTTGTTCAAAAACCTCAGGAGTTTGCTACATTTTGGGGGATGTTCGGTCATGACGTCACGACATAGAGTTATGAGATTAGTAATTGTGTTGCGGTAGGTGAATTTAAAAAAAAACAATTTAAAATAACAAACACGTAAATACAAAAAACATTAATTTTCTTTTAATTAAATATTTTTAATCAGTTGCAATAAGCTTTTTAAATTTCCCGTTTTTTGTTTTTAAAGTTTCGCTCGTTCCGTTGTGTTAAAATTTTGAAAGTGTTAGCTCCCTGAAAGGGGCTTTCAGCCTCTAGGCATAATATGTACAAAACATTAATTATTGTTCCGAATAGATAAGGGGACGTTCTGTGGTTAAGAGTGTGCAGTCAAGTCAAGTTAAAAATGTGCATAATCTTAATAATGACCAAATTTTCAAATAAAGAATGTTTGGAATGCGATAAGCTACAATGTGAGAGCGGTTTATTATCCAGAACCAAATGCGACTGAAATCCCCTGATCTTAACAATTACGGAAAATTAAATTGAGACGTTCCGGCTGCATCCAGAATTCTTGAAATCTTATCTATAATTTGTTTAACGGCACAGCCAGCATAGGGTGATAATTTATGATCTTGCGGATAGCAAAAATATATGTCATATGTTCTTATAGTTCTTATCACACCCTGTATCTCTCTCGTCTCAGACGTCTCCAAAATTATCAAAACCCTTCTTGGAATATATCAATACGACCATCCAGACGATATTCCATGTTCTTTTCGTTCGTAAGATAGCGGATGGTCAAGATTTTAACACTCTGACAATGAACGGAATTGTTACACACTGAGGCAATTTTATGGCCCTAGAGAATAGAACCAGTTTTGCATCTAGCGAACACAGATTTACACAGAATGTAAATGTGATTTTTATGTTCAGACGACGTGACAAAATTCAACTCTTCGCCTCATTTATTGTATTCGCGCAAATATTCCTCGGGTATTTATTATTGTCTCACAGCCGGCTATAATTCGATTCCTCAGGTCATGAACATTTTCACCACAAGTGGATTACACTCTATTAACTCAGGAAAACCCGAAATGTATAAATCTAGGGGATTTAAATCCGGCGATCGAGCAGGCCAATGTTCCGTACCTCCTCTATAGAGTCCTCCTGTCCAACGATTTGCTTAGGCATACTGACTCAGTATTACTGAGATGTCTAAGTGATTATGTATATTAATACTGAAATGGGCTGGTGCACCCACCATGGACTGAAGAGGTAACGAAGAAGAACAGGTACTCTTAAGAGTTATATTAAGAGGAATTCCTGTAGGTAATTAAGGTAAGATTCGCCTATTGGTGGTTGTGGTAAATATGAATCGATTAAATTATTATTGGTTTCAAAGAATCCATGTGGATTTTCCTCAGCCCATAAGTGATTGTTATTGAAATTTCCATTTCCAAAAGCCAAACACCATTTAAATGATTAGAAATTTGAGCGATTTGACAAAGAATCCATTGGCAAGAAAATAGGCGAGGAAAAAATTTCTAGGTCGGGAGTAGAGCTTGCACCCGTTGAATATGAAACAGATACAATTGCTGTTCTTTAACAATTTTAAATAGTGAAGATGCTTACACGCAATATGTTGGCAATTTTTCGAGTACTTGCTTTAGGTGACTGCGTAATTAACTCGAGAACTACTCGTAGCCTTTAGTCAACTGTTTGTTTTTAAATGTATCATTTTCGCGTAAACTGTGGTGAAGACGCGTAAATATTGTGTGACGGGGTTCCCTACGTCCTGGATACAACTCAGCATACAATCGCAATAAAATGTTAATTTTTTTTGCATCAAAACGGCGCCCCATACGAAAAAAGGCAAGATATAATTTTTCTCACAAATTGCACGAATGCTTCAAAAATTGGTTTTAACTCGAATTAAAATAAAAAATTGAGATTATTACCGGTATAAAATTATTATTTGCATGTCAAGCAATGCGCAATGACTACCTCTTAAAACCCACCAAATTTAATTTTCCTATCTCGATCGGTTCCAGAGCAAAAAAAACATCGTCAGTTTTTAACAAAAATTCCAACACCCCGTATCTTGAAAACGAATGTTGTGGCACTTATTTACTAACACCTGTATTTACTTATTCACTTCTTACATGCATTTCGTTTTTTGTTACTTTTTGTGGAAATTCGGTATTTTGGTGGAAGCCTGACAACACTGTTGTGAACTATTCATTTCTGCGCGTTTAACGGCCGTCTGCCTGCAATCCTTATATGGAAATTTTATGCAATTATTATTTTCAATTCTGGCCGAAAACGAAAAATCAAATAGTTGGGAAACTTCCTATTTATTTGAAAGCCTTTTCTGAAGCAATTTATAATAACCAGCCATGATTCTTCACGGAAATTTCAATAATTCGGGCATTCACTACTAACAGTTGATTGTTTATTACCCTCTGTCTCTTTCTACAATATTGTTTTTAGTCGCACATCATCCCTGGTGCCTATTAATCAGGTTGTGTGACAGTCAAGTAGACTGTGTTTGTCAAACGGTTTTGTGAAATAAAGTACATACCGGTGATCCCACCCAGTTTATTTCGAATCTACGTACGATTAACTGCTTATTCTAGTGGTTGAGACATTTGCAACTTGTGCCTTCTCTATATGGTGTTCTGTTAGTGTTCACACGTTCGGTGTTGGTTGCTGATTTTCAAACACCGGTAAGTTTTATATATCAATCGCCTGATAACCAACTGATCACTGTTTCATGTAAGTACTTTTGCATTGAGTTATTAATTTAATGGGAAACTCAAACTATCTGGAAACCTATTGGGCATTACGACACATTATTATGGAGTTTGTTGCATTAGTAATTTCCCACTGCGTAGATTCCTTAAGTATTGTGGGCCTATACAGGGTGGCTTAGGAATATAGGTGTAGGCCATTGTTAGGGGTAACCTCAAAGCTTTTAAATCTAGATATGTTGAATGAAAAAACTTGCAAACGGCTGCGATTATGTTGTTTCACGATGATTCAGCATGTGCGAGTTGCTGTTGCTGTGAAACCACTCTAAATAACAACAGAAATGAGTTAAGTAAACGAACATTGTCATAACCTATAATTTGCTTGAAAGCCGTAGATCATCTAGTTTAATTAACAAAAAGTTGATTTCGACTGTCATGGTTTTTTGCAACTTCCAGCCCTTCGCTCGTTAATACGCGCGCAGCTTAAAGCCACTTGGTTGTGTGCCCCCTTTGAATGTTTTGGGGCCCCAATCGTGCTGCCAATTGTGTTCTCTAAATCGCAGCAAGTGTGTTAAAAGGTCGGTAAACTTTCCCTTTGAGGAGTACCAATTTTTTTGTTTTGTGTTGTTTGACCTTAGAGAACACTTAAAATTAAGCAGCGTCAGTAAGAAAAAAGGTGCTCATGTACTAAATGTCTGCCCGAGTTTTGCGGTCTCTAATTTTTCTCTAAAGTACGTACACTGAAAATTATGTAGTCATTAAAAAAATGCGGTTTTATAAAAGCTATATATTTATATGTTTAAGATGCGTTGAATTTGGGTCGGTTTAAGTTCATTGTTCATCTTTAATTCATATTTCTGAATTTTCAAGAA